ACAAAGAATGAAACTGCAGAAACAAGAGCGACTGCTCCTTAGAAGGAAAATATCTGCAGACGAATGTCATATACCAAGTGACAGTWACAACAGAAACGATAAAAGAAACATACATAGGACTAGCCATAACTTTCCAAGAACAATACAGAAACCACGAATGTTCACTTAAAGTGTCAAAACGAAGAAACGAAACAGAACTGTCAAAGTAAATCTGGAAATTGAAAGAGGAAAAAAAAAGACTATAACATTAAATGGAAAAAAATCAAAAAATGCCAACCTTACAACAATATAACAAAAAAATGTAATCTATGCCTAAGCGAGAAATGAAAGAATATAGGAAAGGAAAAGTAAGAAACAAGGATATTTTTTTGAAGCAAGAAAAAAGGAAGAAATGAAGGAACACATTTTACTCCGCTTGTTCTTTGACTTAATGCCTTTTTGTCTTGCACTCCTTACTWATATGTCTCTTTGTTGTTCTCAGTCATAAATGCATTTTTAGTCCACTCAATAGTCTATATGTAAATAACCTTCCATGTTAAGAMMAAGTCTGCCTTTTTTCATCTATACTACATTTCATCTATTAAACTTTTAAGACATTATTACTGAAAGTTTAGTAATATCATCAGTATGTGAGCAAATAAAAAAGCCGTATGTCAAAAATGAAAGTGATTAGCATTCATCAAAGACACCAGAGGCAAATTAACAAATATAATTGGCAACTTCTATCGTTTTATAACTGCTTGCCCTTCGTCTCAGGCAGGATAGTTGACTTTAAAAACATTGCGTATACTTCGAAATTTATTTTCCGACTTTCAGCCTGGAGTTCAGTTATGAACTATTTCACTGTACCGCCGAGCAACGGCAGCTTTGAAAGACTTGAAACAGGTTTTGCCATCTCGTTGATTGCTATCAACGCTTTGAGCTCCGTTSTAGCTTGCGTTTTGAAATTATTGATCATTGTGACTTTTATCAGGATGCCATCAATGTGTACTCCCTTGTAATATTCTTATTGTTTCTTTAGCATTCTCTGATCTTGGTGTTGGGGCTCTGATACAGCCGCTTTCTTGCGTTAACTTGTTTGCCGCAATGAAAGCATGCCCTTCCCTTTTTGATATGAGTTCTGACATAACTAAAAAAAGCGGTTTTCATTATTTATGACTAAAGATCTAAACAGCAGTATCATTGACGTATAAACCAGAAAAGCCAGAATAAGTTGCTAAGTTCTTGTTGGTGATCATAACACATAAAGGCAATCATAACTGTCTAGTGACAAGTTTTATCTTTGTATAAAACTGTTCGATTTGGGAGGCGCCCGAAAAGATCGACTTAAAACTCGTCGTATACATTTAGAAAGCAGTTGAATTAATTTTCCATAAAAAGGATGAAATGACGGAACAATAAGGAATTYAATTATGAAATCAATAAAGGGACAGATAAATAAGCAGTACAAAATAAAAAGGCATAAAGTCAAAGAAGGATTSTASTAAAATGTTGTGTAATACCACAAGGATCTCTACTGGGGCCACAGTACAGAAGAACAGAATAGACCAGAAGAAAWGGAAACTTTTTTGCTTTCAAGAAAGAAAAGAAAAAGAAGAAAAAGAAAAAGAGAAGAAACCAATGAAGAATAAATTACAGATAAATAACGAATGCAGCTGGCAACATAAGATATAAGCAGAAGTACATAACCAGAAGTGTCCATCTCCGCATTGGTRTCGCCACCATCAGATGTCCCGATAATCTATTTTWAGACAACCAATCACAACGCGCGCACAKATTACACGRCACCTGATTGGTCCTTGTTGATCTACTTCAAGAGCGGACAAGAAAGGAAAATTATGTAGTCGATGGAGGCGAACGAAGTGAAGTTTTCATTTACGAGAATTTTACACCTTTTGCTGAACAACCATTTTTGAATTCGATAGAAAACATTCTTTACTATATAAGCAATGTAGCGAAGGAAGTTCAAGAGCAATATAGTCTGCAAAAACAAGAGAAAAGTTCAGACAAAGATGAAGAAAAATGCAAAACAGCGTGCGAAAAAAAGTAGTCTAAAGTAGCTTTCTTACAGTCAATAGAGTCGGACTTACTGGTTAYGTACTTCTGATATAAGTCAAGAAAGAATCGCAGTAAAATGGGGGATACCACAAGGAACTTTACTGGGGCCAATTCACTCTATATGCAAATAACCCTCCACGTTTAAAAACAAAGTCTGCCTTTTTTTCATCTATACTACCTTTCAGCTGTTGAACGTTTAATGCATTATAACTGAAAGTTTAGTAATTTCATCAGTATGTGAGCAAATCAAAACTCCGTATGTCAAAAATTGTCATGTCAATCAGAAACGAAAGTATTCATAATTCATAATTTGAATACACCAGAACCAAATTAACAAAACTAAGCTATAAAAAGTATTATCGTTCTATAACCCTATTTGCCTTAGATCTCAAGGCAAAACTAACTGACGGTAAAAACTTGCCGCATACTTCGAAAGTACCTTCACATTTCGTTATGAACAATTTAACTGAACCACCGAGCAACGACAGCTTTGAAAGACTTGAAACAGGTTTTGCAATCTCCTTGATTGCTATCAACACTTTGAGCTCCGTTGTAGCTTGTGTTTTGAATTTCTTGATCATTTTGACTTTCATCAAGACGCCATCAATGTGGACACCTTCGTATATTCTAATTCTTTCTTTGGCCCTGTCTGACTTTGGTGTTGGGGCTTTGGTACAGCCATTGTATTGTGTTGGAATATTTGCCACAATGAAAGCATACAGATCACTTTCAGATGTGAGCATTGATATAACAGAACGAAGCGCGTGGGTACTCGCATTTTCCTCTTTTCTCACGATTACTGGCATCACTATCGACCGGTTCCTAGCTCTTCACTTGCACCTAAGATATCAAGAGCTTGTTACAGCGCAGAGGTCCTTTACAGCTTTGATCTTTATTTGGATTTTTGGCTTGTCTGGGCTTCTCACTCAATGGTTTAATATTGCCAAAATAATCTACCTTTCTGTTGTGGCTACTTTGGTGATTCTGAACATAATTCTAATGGTGAAAATTTCTCGAGCTGTAAGTAAACATTCAGCAATCATCCGTGCACAACGGCGAGCAGTACAGGGAAGCTTGGACCTTCCAGGATACAAGAAAACTGTGAACACAATGTATTATATCATGGGTACGCTGGCAGTTTGTTATATTCCCGTCGTAAGTGCGGAAATAATATATTTTACTAAAGAAAGAAGTGCTATTGCTTTGTACATAACTCACACAATTATGTTGATAAACAGTGCTTTGAATCCAGTCATCTACGTCTGGAGAATACAAGACATGCGAAATGCTCTGTTACAGCTGTTTCGAACCATTCGATGTTGTAANCCAAGTTTGCTTTTTGCTTGGTAATAAAAGCCTAAATTACTGATCAAAAAAGCTCCGTTTATTGATGGCTTTGATTGCAGTTAGGACAATGATGAGAAGGGACAGCAGAAAAGGTGTCTAAAGAATTAAGAGCCTTTTGATGCGCACCGTGAATTAATTGGCTTCTTTGGGAGGGCTGGATTTTCACGCTAGACACAAGACCCCTTTTGTGATGTACCCTCTCATATATATGTACATATATGCAAAAATATTCAGTCATTTTTGGTTGTAATAATTCCTAACTGTTGAAACGTTGTACAATTAGATGTATGCAGTCTTTTTTTTTCATGTGACAATGAACGCTTTGCTTTTTTTGCAATGACAATGCATAAGTATCTTAAAATTATCGAAATTGTTTTAAAAAAAGTGTTCAACCTTGTCAAGGAGCGTGGTATAAAATATAATTGTACTTAAAGACTAGAATGATTCATTGCTTTATTGCTACAAGCTGGTTTCCTATGGTAATAAGAGATTGCCACACTCGCTAAATAAGATCTTTGACTTTAACAAGCACACCCTAAAACTCAGCTATTCCTGCATGCCCAACGTAAAGTCCATAATCTCATCACACAACAAAAAAGTACTATCAACAAATAACACCGAACAAGTGCAAACAGACAAAGAATGAAACTGCAGAAACAAGAGCGACTGCTCCTTAGAAGGAAAATATCTGCAGACGAATGTCATATACCAAGTGACAGTTACAACAGAAACGATAAAAGAAACATACATAGGACTAGCCATAACTTTCCAAGAACAATACAGAAACCACGAATGTTCACTTAAAGTGTCAAAACGAAGAAACAAAACAGAACTGTCAAAGTAAATCTGGAAATTGAAAGAGGAAAAAAAGACTATAACATTAAATGGAAAATAATCAAAAAATGCCAACCTTACAACAATATAACCAAAA